CGCACATTACAAGAATCAAGGATTGAACACAAGTTTAAAATTTTCACCATCTGCACCAATTATAAACAAAAGATCACATCAAAGAACCTATAGTCCTGATTCTATTGGCTACTATCTTTTTTCAAAAAAAGTTTAATCAAACCCATCACCACAACCTAAAAATCCAACAAAGTTCACCATTCTGACAAGTCTGAATATACATTTAACCGTAAAAATATTATGGTCTTAACAAAAAGTCTGAGTATTTAGTGGCATCGTAGGTCTTAACTTGTTGAAAGGTTAGAAACCCATTTAAAATTCAATTTTTTGACATTTATTTTCCATCCCAATGAAGTAAATTCTTTCAATCTGTATTGATTTAGAAGCAACTCTTTTTTCGAAATGCATAAAAATCTAGAATGCATTCATGATATGATAGATTTCATGATACTCTGAAAACAATATGACCACCATTAACAACAAAGATTCTAGAAACAGGCAACATAAGCTATTTGCTTAGCTGACAACAGAAATGCTCCGGGTTTAGCTGTTGGGAAAAGCTAGTGAAGGAGATTCAAGAAGTTCAAAGTATTGTGAACTGGAACTCCAAACTCGCATACTAACCTTAGCCACTTAATCGGTGACTTTGTCAGCTTCTTGCATTGACCGAAGGTTTCAGTTTCTCAATTCTGTGGTTTGCTCATTTTCTACCGCTTCTATAGCTTCAGTCACTGAGTTACAAATAAAGTCTACGCACAAGATGAAGATGGAAACATAGTCTAGGTATCAGATATCATGAAGTTTTAAGAAAAAGATTACTCTGTAAGGTTTGTGTTTACAGAGAGAAATTAAACACAGAGTACAATAACTTGAAAAGAAACCTACCAAGGAATAACCGTCATGCAGAAAAAACTTCAGAAGCGCGCATTGTCTATCTTTCCCAAAGATTTTGTTGGAAAGATTGGCACCATAAAGATCGTTCAACTTTTCAAATGCCCTATATGCACAATACAAGTTGACCTTAAATTTACAACCCAGTCATAACAATAAAACAAAATTTTACCATAGCTCCCTCAGCAGTACCATGATCATTGGCAAGATCCTGTAAGAATTAGGTGGCACTTCCATTATCAGGGACCATCATCAAGTCAAGTAGATGAATTTCAAGCTCTCATCACGTGAAGGGTCCACAAATACCTCATGTTCAAACAATTGGAAACATCAAATCAATCCTAAATGGACAAATTACAGTTGGCAACAAGTAAAGAAAAGGGACAATCAAATGAGGGGAACACAAATAAAATTAAAAGCAAACTACGAATAACCTAGTGATCAGGAACTTGGCTAACATTGCTCACGTTCTAATTAATTGCGGAACAGAATTAATCAATTGTTTAAAATTATAAAAATAATAACAAAAATGATAACAAAATCAATAGCACCAAAAAATTAACAAAAAAAGAAAGAGGGATTACACGAAAGTTGCATATAAGAGTGGCTTTATTCTTTTTCCATCGCTTGGTCGGTCCGGAGCAAACCGATTTCCAATTTCTTCGGTAAATTAGCTGGAGTATGAGATTATGTCAAAAACCAAAGAGTGGCCACAACCAAAACAAAAAAACTAAAGATTTTGCACACAGAAAACATTGCAATTAGTTGCGGATGAAATTATTATTTTTTTTAAAAAAATCGTATCGAATCAAACACGAGCACAACAAAGCTTGTTAAGAAGGAACGAGAAAGTCACCTAAGTTACAGGTTGGGCGACTCCAATGGTGGCGATGGGACGATTAAGACAATGCTTGCTTCAATTGCACATTGATGATTGTAGCTTTATCGATTATAGGCCATTACATGGATCACAGAAAGCTAAAGTAGAACAAAGAAACGCGAGGAGGAAGAATGGGGTTATGGTGGCTGAGGTATATTGAGCAGGCCGTCGGAGGGTCGGTGCATTGGGGTGCCGAGGGAGGATGGAAGAAGATTGTTGGGAATTTATTCTGGGTTTTATAGTAGAAAAATAATAAACCTTATAAAACTACGTGGTTTCGTGCCCTGGGGGATTTACCCTAAGAACTCTCGAAACGTAGTCGTCATTTTGCTTGTGGGATTGAAATCCATGGAAAACCTACTGGTAAAAATGACGTCGTTTTGATGTCAGAGATTTTTTTCCCCAAAAAATTCGAATTTTGTTGTAGAAAACAAATTATGAATTCCTGTTTTTATCCCTAATTAGTTGTTGACGTCGTATCAACCCCATCCGACGGACCTTGAATATTTAATCTTGGGTGTTATTTTTTGTTTACTGTACATTATATTTAAGTATAAAGATTAAGGCGATCGAAGAGTCGCTTAAAGACCTGGAATAGGGAGGTTTTTGGTGACATTTTTCAAAATCTTAAGGCAGCAGAGGATGATGTTAAAGAAAAGGAAGAAAAATTCGACAACACCAATAATCTGTTGGGCCGCGAAATGTTGCAAGAAACTAAGGCAAAGCTCTTTTCCAAACAGCGGGAGCATGATGATTTTATGAGACAGAAAATGAAGCTCAAATGGCTCAAGAAGGTGACGCTAGTCGCTAACACAGCTTTCTTCCATGCTTCAATAAAAGAAAAGCACGCAAGGCAAGGAATTTATAAGATACAAGATTCTAGTAGAGAATGGATTGATACTAGTTCGAAAATTGAAAAGGAGGCTGTGGAATTTTTCAAAGATCTGCTAACGGATGAAAGGCTGATTGGAGGTTCAGAAGCTCGGGAATGTCTTTTGGAACACATTCCTACACTAATCACAGTTGAAGACAATGAACATTTGTTGAGGAATATTTCTATGGAAGAGCTCAAGGTTACAGTATTTGGTTTAGACCCCTCTAGTGCCCCGGGGCTTGATGGTTTCGCGGGAATCTTTTATAGTCATTGTTGGGATATTATATGCAATGACCTTCTTAAAGCATGTGAAGATTTTCTAGGAGGAAGAACTCTTCCAAGAGCGATAGGAAGCACTCTAATCACATTGATTCTGAAAAGGCCATCAGTGAATACATTTGCTGATTACCATCCGATTAGCTTATTCAATTTTGTGAATAAACTTTTCACAAGGATATTGACGGAAAGGCTGAAGCCACTTCTGGGGAAGGTGATTTCGGAGGAATAATCTGCATTTTTAGCTAGAAAATATTCTACATACTCAAGATTTGTGTTAATTCCTTGATCATAAGTCTTTCAGGAAAGAAATGTTATTCTTAAGGTGGACATGATGAAAGCTTTTGACCGAGTTTCTTGGAGTTTTTTAAAAGAAATCTTAGAGTCTTTTGGATTTGGAGCTAGCTTCATCAAGTTCATCATGAACAACTTAAGTGGAAGTTGGTTTTCGATATTAATCAATGGAAGTCCTACTGGTTTCTTTCAAGCTACTCGGGGAATAAAGCAAAGAGATCCGTTATCACCATACCTCTTTATTCTAGTCTCAGAAGCATCAATTATCTTAACTCCACGGGGAGGATAGCGAATTATGGTGTCCCGGCAGGGACACTTTCTGTTACACACTTGAGTTATGCAGATGATTTGATTATCTTCATGAAAAGCTCAACTAGATCATTAGAGTCTTTGGATGAATTTTTCCAGATTTCTGAAAGGGCTACAGGACAGAAAATCAATAGGCAGAAAAGTGAATTTTTGATCTCAGAGAAGGCGAATCCAGATCAAGAGCAAAGGATACAATGCATATTGGGTATGCAAAGAGGTTCTCTTCCTATTACCTATCTTGGTGCCTGAATTTTCAAAGGAAGGAAAAACGAGCTATTTTCAACACTTGTTGGATTCCATGGATGCTAAATTATCGAATTGGAAAAATAAATTTCTATCCAGCGGAGGCCGTTTGGTTCTAATCAAGCATGTTCTTTCTTCTATTCCCATTCATCCTTTTACAGCTATAGAGCCTCCAAGTTGTATTGTATGAGCTTTGGAATCAAGATGTCAAAACTTTTTGTGGGGAGAGACATGAGCACGGTTTCAAAAGACATTTTCAAAAATGGAATTGGTCTTTGAAAATTATGTGAAGTGGTAAAGACTTTTTCAGCAAAACTTTGGTGGAAGTACAAAAATCAGAATGGAATATGGGCCAAATATTTGCTATCATTGTCGAGATCTTCAAGGAATAGAATTACAAGTTAGGGAAGAATAGCCAACATTGGTTCCTTAGAATCTCTAAATTCAGACAATCAAAATCAGGCAGGGATTAATCTCTTTTTGGTTCGACAAATGGTCTGATCTTGCGGTCTTATGTGAGGAAAATGCACCAAATGCCCCGCCTCTTCCGCGATTAACTGTGAAGGAGTTTATCGAAGATTGCGATGCTGTCTTGCCAATCATCTCGAGTCGACTAACAGCGCAACAAATAGACTTCTTAATTCATCAAAAGGAACCAATGGTACTATCCGAAGAAGAAGATAAGTTCATTTGGAGATCTTCCACAACTGGAGTTTTTTCAAATGCAGCCGCATATAAAGCATTACGGGAATAGCAACATGGGCTGACATGGATCAAATTTTTCTACCATCAAGTAATACCTCTACATATCTCTTTCTTTTGCTGGAAAACATACAATCATTTAATGCCTTTTCCTAAAGCAATAGGTCGATTTGGAATCTGTTCATTGCATCCATATGTCCGTTATGCAAAAATCAAGGGGAAACACAAGATCATCTTTTCTTTGGATGTCCTTTGGCAACAAGAATCTGGAAATTTTTGAGGCTACTATGGGCTTATTTTTACCTATAATGGATAGTCTTTGACCATATTTACAACTATGGTTTTAATTGGATAATTTTTGCATGGCCAAAAAGACAATCATCATGGTGTTGCCGGCTTTTATACTTTTGGAGATATGGAAAGCAAGAAATTAAGTCATTTTTTAAGGTAAAAATTTTCATTTTGATTCTATTATTTTTTTCGATTAAAGCTAATGTTTCAGGTATGATGAGAATTCATGATTTAAAAGCGGCCTCAAGCGAAGAAAGGAAAATGCTTGAAGAGATATTCCAAGTTAGAGTTTCTCCTCCAAGGAAGAAGAAGATTACAATGGTTTCATGGAGGCCCCCCGATCCCGGAAGTTATATATCATCAACACATATGGCTCTACAAAAGGCAGCCCCAGAGAAGCGGGATGGAGTTATATGGTACGAGGCACGTATGGAGAGATGATTCATGCTGCATGTGGACATTTTGCATATGGTTTTAGTCTCGAAGCTGAAGTTCTCAGAATACTAGAGGGGCTAAAATATTGTGAAGGCATTGGACTACAAAATGTTCAAGTTCATTCGGATAGCAAGTTGACAAATGAAATCTCATTCATAAAGTTAAGGATTCTCCTTGGAAGTATCATGATGTTTTAACGGAAGTTGTCACTATTATCAAAAGAAGGAAGCATCAAGCAGTACATGTACATCGAGAGATCATTATGGTGGCAGACTCTTTAGCAAAAATGGGTCCAAGTGGTTCGACTATGGAATTCAGCTCATATATAAACTTTCCCCCAAGGTTAGAGGTTTATTTATTCTTGACCAGAGATCTTTTCCATACTTGCAAATAAAATAAAGGAGTATTCTTTTTAATATTGGTATATTTGAATGTTAGATCAAGATAAAATAGAATAGTTCAAAAGAACTGTCAGAGGTTTTTAATAGAAAAATCTTTGTAAGACAGTTTCTTAGATTTTTATTTCTTAAATTTATACAATTAATTTTCATTTGAAGACTAGACTCTAACCCAAGGATGGCTAAATACCATATTTAACATTTTCACCATTTCCGAAAATACCCTTTATTCTCTCTAGCCAAACCCTAGAGGAGGCGACTTCACGTCTCCCTACTGACCATCATGGCTGGCGACCAGCCGCCGGTGGCCCCCCAAAAGCCACCCAAATCTTTTGCAAGCTTCTTTCAAAAGGCTTCTGAATCGGAGGCTAACAAAAATTCACTTATCAAGCCAATCAAATTCATCAATGGTACGCCTACCTTGGAGTATGAAGATGAAGAATTTGAAAAACTTGTTGCTCCTCACCGATTGAGTTTAGTGGGGAAATTTTCATATAACTCCTTCACACATTGAATCATATAAATGAAAAGTGGCAACCGGTTGGAAATATTATACATCCCATAACTTCTTTAATCCCTTCTTCGTCTCTTTCTTAACAACAAACATTCAACATTTTTTCATCCACAAACACCCAAAAAAACAACACCAAAAATTATTTTGCTTTCAACCTCTATATCTCATGAGTCATTAAACAAACTCAACATTGTTTGAAGCTTATTTATAATATGATACACTAACCAAGGCCCACCACCAATTGCCAAAATATTGAAAAATATTTTGAACAAAACTTGTGAAAAAATTTTATTCCAAATTTCTTATGCAAGAAAATTATAATGGCATAGCAGTGAGTGAGGTTTTTCCTTAAAATTTAGAATGATTAAACCCAATTCTTAGAAATTTGATTCAAGAATTAATTTGTTTATGCCATGGCATTAATTTGTTTATTGAATCTTATACTGGTAAAAATATAGTGCATCTTACAGTGCTTCAATGATGAGAGAAGATGTTGAACGTAAGGAGATGAAGGAAATATTTGTCAGGAGTTTTTTTTTTTCCTTTGGTGAAAGCAATATTGGAGACATGGTTTGACACTATTATTAGAATTTGCTTTGGATTATTTATCTTTATCATTACAAAGTAGATTAATTAAGTGCTACAAGTATTTATCTTCACAAATTACCTGATTAGTAGGTTAATGGTTGATACGAATTTGATAGAATACATATCACACTATCAACATATCATAGATATTCAATTTCAATTGGATAGATTCAAATTACATGGTTCAGTAAAAAATGCACGAATGCAAAATAGAGTATATACATTCTTGACAAGATTATTACCTTCCAATTTTCTTATTTCACCCCTCAGTACTTTTAATTTTAACATGTGGCAAAAAATAGAACTTCCATTTTCGCAGTTTCTAAATTTGCAAAATCCGTAGCAAGGAAATAATAATGTAAGAATGATGTAAAAGTGAATGGAATGTGGTTTTAAAGAAAAAAAAAATGTATTTGTATTATTTGAAATAAAAAAAATTATACCATTAAAACAGTATGAGTTGAAAGTACGAAATATGTTTCAAGTGAAAATAAATAAGGAGGCTTGTGTGTTTTCACATGTGTCACATATATCTTCAACGAAATCCATTGTTTATATCTTTTCCATTTCTTTTAATGTTCATAATTAACATCTTTTTTTATCAAAAGAAAGATTAGGATGACTTTCAGGTTCCAACTAACTCAAAAAAACTCAAGGGGTATACCCAAGAGGTATACCCAAGAGGTAATTTTTGAGCTAGTTAGTGCCATATAGTATAATGCACCCAAGGGGTCTACCCAAGGGATGAACATATATAGTATATAGTTCCCTAGTTTCACCCTTCCCTATATATATAATAAATCAAGAACTTAGCAGTGCTTGAGACTTACCAGTATACAATACAACTACTTATTTCGGCATCGCACATATGGGAAAGAAACCTGGTCTAAGAGAACAAGTCCCCTGACGTATACGAAGGAGTGCGGTTCGTTCGAGAAATTCCTACCTCTCTATCTATCTCTGAGATGTTTGGATTTTTCAAAACTCCATAGACATGGCGAAGAGAAATGCTATCCCCACTCGGACCAAGACAGAACTTTTCCTTGTTCAAATAACAATTAAGGTGAAGCAGGGGCAAGAACGCCGAATCTCTTTATGATAAACGGATCCATTTTGCAAGTTCGTTATTACGGGTAGTTCAATAGCAAGGACACCATTCAATATACTCGATCAGTCATCTATCAAGAGACTCAAGAAAGGCAGGAGCAAACAATGCCCAACTATGAAGGAATACTATTGATTAGTAATCTTCATAACCAACCAAAGATATGCAACACATACACTATCTCAAAATGCTTATGCCAAAGCACAACTCATCCAACAAACCCACAATGGATCTCATGAACACACTCATCATGAAATTCGAACACCAAGCCAAAGGAAAGGCTCATCAATCGAACTACTAGAAGTAGTATGAAAATAAGAAGTTTTGTTTTAAAACAATTCTATCAAGAAGCATACTTGAAAAAGAACGGTTTCTGCAAGATAAAAAAGATCCAAGACAAGATGAAAACCCTCTTGGTTTAATCATACTTGACACGAAAAATGGACACTCCATTTAACAAAAATTCCTCATAGGAAAGACTCTCAAAGAGACAACAAAAATGACCTCTCAAGGGTGCTTAAGAAATTCGTCCAAGCCTCCTATTTATAGGCTTAGAATTTTCGGCTAGCACCACTAAAAAGAAGACCAATTAGGACTCTCTAATCTTATCTCCCAAGGAGTAAAAGTAGAAGAGTACTTGATCTCTTTGACTCTATCTAAAATCTAGGAAACCTTATCTAAATGACTTATCCTCAAGTAGGATAATATTTAGAAGGAATCTAAGACTCCTAATCAAAACACTCTAGTTTAATTCAGTCCACATGACTTATTTAACTAGATAAAAATTCGAAAATTGACTCCTAGACTTAGACTAACTCTAATCTCGAAATTCAGCTCCAAATTTTTGAAGTAAAATGTCTTGAACGCCCTTCCAAAAGTGGAATGTTGGTCTTGCGCCCCTTAAGTTGTAGAAAACTCTAATTTACTCCAAAACTTGTAGAATTCTCTTTATTGACTCCAAAAGATTGGAAAAACACTTGAAACAATTAAGATAGTTTGCAACCTATCTAATTGTGTAGCAATGGACTCAATCTTGAACACTTTGATCAAATAGGCCATCCATTCATGAACCCAAATGACTCTTCTCACTAGCTTGATCAATGATCTTCATGGAGCACACAGAGTCAAACTCTCTTGATACTCTTCAGCACTTATTTCCATGAGGTCTTCATCTCCTTTGGTTTGAACCCCAAAGTTAATGACATTCTCATCACCTTGATCATAGCTCTTTTGAACCAACTCCCTATCACATAGGTAGTCAAGATCCATCCTTTCTTCCTTGATTGGCCTGCAAAGTAAACTTGGCATTCCAAAACTAGAATGAAGGACTAGCTCATTCCCCTCACTAGAAGAACCTCCATGGAAGGCTACATGATTCTCATCAATTTAGGCAACTGAGAATTGATGATAAGGTTAATGGATTCATAGAGGGTTTTGACTTGTTCAAAGATAGTCTACTGGAGATGAGGATAGCTGTGAAGGACGAAGATGAGGATGATGACGATGATCAGGATGGTGGTGGTTGAGGTTGTGGTAAGGGTTCTAGTGTGGAGGATTTTAATGAGGATGAATGAAATCCAAGGTATTTAGGGGCATATGAATAACTGAAGTATGGAGAATCTAGGCCTGCTACTCGAGGTCTTCAAAATGCCATGGTGTTCCACGAGTGTTCCCTTAATCTTCTCAAGGAGTACAATGACCAAAAAAATAGAACATTCTCAATTAAACAGAGAGGCATGATGCATATTCAGCTTTGGATGCTCCTATCCGCACAGTGCAAAAGTGCAATCGGATCTTGTAAAAAATCAAAGATCTCGCTGATTTAAAGTGGTATGTTTGTTCTTCTGAAGATGAAGACACTCAGAGTGTTATTGATGCATACCGTATTTTGGAGAATAGAGTCTATGAAATTAGGAAACTATTGGAACAAAAAATAATTGATGTGCCCGTTGTGAAAGACCATGTTTTGGTCTTGAAGGCTGCGGCCAAAGCAGCTGCTCAAAAGTCAAGAGAAGAAGAGGATAACAACCGAGTAATTGCTGAAAACAAGTATTACACTGATCGTGCAAGAAATCGAACTAGTAGAGGTAAAGGAACTAAAAGTAGTAAGTAACTTTATCAGGTAATTAATTCTAATTTATGTACTAAAGAAGTCTTGTTTAAGAATTGAAGCTAAATGTGATCTGTCTTGTTATGTATGTATATATATATATACACTATATTGTAAATAGCCTAGTTGTAAACAACCTTGGGCTAGAATATACTCTGCCCTTGGCCTTTTTTTTGGCTTTTAATACAATAAAAATGGGGAGGGGTGAAGCTAGAGAACTGGATAGTATATATGTTTATCCCTTGGGTATACCTCTTGGGTGCATTGTACTAATCTAACACTGGCTGTCTC